TCGCCGGCGGATCGACTATGCATACGGCTGTAAGAGTTTTCTAAAATGTACAATTTACACCTTCCTTAATAATATGAAATAATTATATTAGATATTCCACACTTTCCTTATCTGTATACAGATAGGAAAGTAAAAATGTTTCGAGTTAAATGTATGTGGAAAATGTATATATTTAGTTTATCCTCTAAACATTTATAGAGGTGCTGCAATAGGTTGTACAAAATAACCGGAAAGAGTCTATAATAACTAGATAGGAAAGTCATGTGTTGGACAGATCAGATTTTTTTCGGTATAATTAAAGGTTTAAAACAATTTAACAGTAGTTTTATTATTGCAGCTATAACAATACAAAACCTCGTAATCAGCATTTTGGCGTAGAAGATAGATTTCAAAACCAATTATCTAACACTGAAAAGAAAAACAACTAAAATAATCTAATGACAATACATATACAATGAGATAATAATACTCAAATGTACCTATTTTCTATTAAATCTAATTAATTAAACTAAAATTAAAAAGTTTTTAGTACCTCCTTAAAATTTTGGTTTTTTAGTTATAGTAGGGAATCTGAGGTGCTGAATTCGACCACATCTATAAAAGTCGCGACCATCCACCTAAAAAACATGAAATCATATGTAAAAGAACCTGAGGGATTCGAATTTTTTGTTCGCCCTTAGAACCGAAATTGCGAAATGTGTCAAAACATAAAAATTTTGAAAAAACTGAAAATTTACATTAAAATAGTTATTTATGCAACAAGTGTGTAAAGTTACCCTTTTTTGACGAATGTGAATGTTGTCGCACGAACCGTAGGCGAGTGCGACAATCACATGAGTCAAAAAAGGGAATTTACACACGAGTGGCATACAATATTTTTTCTACTACCGTACACATAATCCACTAATATTAGAAATATAAAAGTTACTTTTTTTCACTAGTGAAAAAAAGTACTTTACTTTACGCACTAGTGAAAAAAAGTAAAATGTGCCAAAAATTGTACAGAGCAACAAAAATAAATTTATTGGAACTTTACAAATTTATAATTCTTACAGAACAAAATGACTAACAAATGAAGAAATATTTAAAAAAATAGGTCTTTAACTCTTATGAATATTAATATTGAATGTGCAATTATTGCAATTACCAAAACTTAAGGTTTTGGCCTTTTCCAGCACAGAGTTTGAAAAATGTTGTGATATTACTTCTGTAATTCTATTTTGAGCTTCGAGTGGTATGGATTTGGCCTTTTCAAGTAAAGAGGTTGAAATATTTTGTGTAACTCTAGTTTCACTGTCGAGTGGTTCCACTAATTCTTCATTAGAGTTGTCAACGGTAAAATTGTAGCTTTGTTTTGAAGTGGATGGCATACTGTCATCCATCAAAATTTTATTAGAAATTTTGTTTTTTTTGTGTTATTGTGCTGTCTACGTAGCCTTTTGCAACAGCAGATGATTTCCATCCTTCATGTTTTTTTACCGTTAGAAGGTCTTCTTCAGAATTTGCCAGCATAGTGGCTGAAGACCTCCTAAAGCAGTGTCCTGTAAAAGCCGTTGGATTGGGCAAGTTTAGATACGTTGCTATAACACTTGGCATTTTACAAAAAGTATTTATCCCTACAGGCTGTTTAGAATATTTTCCATTTGCGAATTTTAAAAAAAATCTGTTACAATTTATATTTGATGGTCTTAATGAGGTATATTTTTTTATAAAAGATAAATAATCAACTGCAGAATTATTTGGATTTAAAATCGTAAAAATGCATTCTATTCCATTTTTGGTTTCTGATACTTTGACTTTATACACTGTTTGTTTATCTTCCACATCGTTAATAGTCATTTTACATAATTCTTCCCGGCGACAAGCTCCCGCAATTCCAATTATAAAAGCTTACTAAAAAATAACATATTGTAATGTTACAAATAATTTATTAAACATTAGGAAATATCTTGACGTTGCGCATGTAAAACTCCAAATAAATGCTATTGTAAAAAATATAAAAGTTTTAGGTATAATGTGCTGCCTAACAACCCCGGTGGCCTGTTAGGACAGCAACTGATTTTGTTAGGCAACACACCATACATCTCGTTGCAAAACTTTACAGAATATTTTAATTTTATACTGAGCATTAACATATTTACTTACTTTGATCATTAAAAACTTGGAATCTGGAGCTTTCAACAGAAAATTAATTAGATCTTCTCGTTCAAAAATTTTGGATTTTTTTGGTTTATAACCTTTATTTTTTTGTTTGAGAAACGCTATTAACTTGTTGAATTTCGAAATATCAACGTTGTTTTTATATTTTAAGGTGCTTTTAAGCATAGAATACATCGACCATAGGGTGAAGCTTTGCAATTCTTCAATTCATCAGAGAAATATGCTAAAATAACGTTTTCCGAATATTTTGTCACCTTATTCTTCCTACACCATTCTATAAATGCATTGTATTTTTGCTAATAAATATATGCAGATTTTTCTGGCAATAAATTTTCAGTGGCCTTTTGTGCACTGCATAAGATATCTGGGGGAGTATTATCAAATTCGCTATCGCTAGATAAATTTGAATCCATATCGATTATGACAGATATAATAAACTGCAAATAAAATTTGAATTTAAGTAAACAAACATTAAAAAGTAAAACTTTTTACCTTCTTAAACTTGATTGAGTTTAAAAAAATGCTAAATTGACTTTAGAATCTAATCTTGAACTTAAGTATACTTTTGTCGTGTTCTGTTATAAGGTAGGTACTAATTAAAAGTTTAGAGATTGACAGTTCTTCTAATCCACACAGCCACGGCCAACTTACTTTTACCAAAATCGACATCCACTGTATGTTTACTTTTAATTAAATCGATGACATTTAGAGAAAATTATAATTAAAATAAACTGTTGATAATTTGTTGGACACTAAATAGATATAAGCAAAAATAATTTATTTATTTGTCTTAGAAGGACATAGCAAAAAAATATTAACATAAAATAAAACGTTATATTTTGTTGTTATGTACAAATTTTGTCAAATTTTACTTTTTTTAACTAGTGCGTAAAGAGTTTTACTTTACGCACTAGGAAAAAAAGTACAACTTTACACACTTCGTGGAGTGCGTAAAGTACATACTTTACGCACGGTAGTAGAAAATAATATTTTTTGCAAACTAATGCATAACTTTGTTAATTGATGTCCGATCGTTATGAATTTTGGATATGATATTTTTCTGTACTTCCCTGACATAGTATTATAACAATAAAACATTTAGAACGTCACATAAAAACGAAGTAATTTTTTTTTTTCGTTAGAAGACAAAATATCTTCACTTTGCAACGTAAAATGGCGAGTTGAGATAACTTTTTTATCTTTGGAGATAGATAACTAGTATAACCAAAAAAAAATGTTGCCAATAGAACAAGGAAACTTTTTTACTCAAACTTTTTTTTATACGACGTTTAGTTTGGGCTGTATACCATTTTAAAATCCAAGAAAATTAAATCAGCGCGTCCCATCTCCGATGTTGGATGGGGTGCAGCGAATAAAGCGATTAGTGTGCCAGAGAGAGTAAAAACACCACAGCCTTCTTCATACGTGCAACAAAGATGACGCGGCGACGGCAGAGGCACTTTTGATCTGACTTATTAGTTACATGGACGTTGTCCCAGCTAGGCGAAATTTCTTAAATATAATTTTGTAGTTCATCCGCTTATGTGTTATTGTGACTGCCTGTCAAAGACATCAATTTTTTATGATGAATGAGATTGAACCATTAATACAATTGTTTAATCAAACATATGATGAACATAGTCCAACTGTCCTTTTTTGGTTGCAATATATAAACATGGTCTGCATTTTGCAATGGTATATAATACCAGAAAGAAATGGCGACTGGAATCAGCATCTATTGTGTGTTGAAATGATGCTTCCCTACATGATATCTGCAGGACATTACAAATATGTTTCGTATTGATATAGAAATTCCTGACGTCATCAAATGTATTATCTAAATTGAGTAATACTGGGGTGGTGAAGTGTCTTGAAATCAAAATTTAAGTGAAAATCAAAATGTCGGGGTTTTTGTTGATTTTGGGAAGAAAATGTCAGATAGAAAATTGGATTGTCAGTGGGAATAAAAACTGTCAGAGGGAGGATATTTGGAATGTTATGTTAAATTAAATTAGAGAGATTAATGATGTAAGAGTTGGAGAATTGTTAAACCAGATAGAAGAAATAAATAAAATAAAAGGTACATAAGAATTTTAATTAGAAATGATACATTAGAAAGAAGCAAAGACAGGTAGAAGCAGGAGAGGCAGAGGCACGACAGATACATACATAAGAGACAGGTAAACACGAACAGCACACACAGGTAGAGATTATCAGATAGGTACAGAATAGTAGAGAGATAGAATCGAGCAGACAGGCAGAGACAAGCGGACAGGTAGAGGCAAGTGGAGAGAAGGAGCTAACGGGAAGAGAAGATAGACAAGAATTTAAAATTTAATTTTTTTTAATATTAAATTTGATAAATAATATATTTTGTTGTAAATTTCCAGAACTGAACCACCCCTTTTAAAAGTCTGGGCAAATAAAAAAAAATGATATACAGGGGGTTTCTATATCAGTATATTCCTCACTACCTATAGGATATGAGAGATCTCAAAGAAACTGCTCCAGAAGTCCACACTGCTTTTATTGAGGGCAAATTTAATATACATGTGAGAAACGGCAGGACAGATATGGCATTAGAACAAACTTACAACACAAGTATATTAAATTAAAAATTAAAAAAAACCGAAGTCAAAAACGTGCAGATGCTATTACCACATCTTAACCAAATTTATATGGAACCACCTCTAAGATATTCCCTTACTAACAAAAAAAGAATCATATAAATCGGACAAGGTGGTAAAGCATTATAGCTAACCATACATAAAAAATGAAGAGTTTGAGGGTTTTCTCATAGATCCAATTATTAGATTTTGACCAACTTTATATGGGACTACCTCTGAAGTACTCCCTTTCTAACAACAAATATATCATTAAAATCAGACACCGTGTTAAAAAATTATCGCTGAACATACATAAAAAAAATATATTGCGACGAATTGAGAACCTCCTCCTTTTTTGAAGTCGGTTAAAAAACGCTAAGAATAAACTGTTTCATGGAATATCTATGTAGGAAGTCACAGTACAGAAGTATTTAAATTCGCTGCCCTTTATGTCCACGGTTACTGACGAATTGGAAAAAAGGTTTCAATCAAAAAGAAATATTTCTATAAATGAAATTCATCACGATTCAAGCTACGATGCTCTGAAAACTCATAAAAATATATTAGAAATTATAAGGATCATAAAACAAAAAGTTAATCCATTTGAACCAGACCTAAAGGAGTTAATTAATATTTATTCTGGGTGCATAAGTAAATCAAGCAATGTTTATAAAGCTGAAGAAATTGGAATGGCCGCTATAGTTAAGGCAAATAAAGAAAATGCGGAAAAAATTGAAATAGTAAAGTTAGAGCTGTTTGATGAAAAAGAAAGAGCCAAAACCAAGAAAACAGTGATATCTAAGTTGTATGAAAGTTAAAACGTTAAAATGTTAAGACATATTTTACTCGAGAACTTGAGGGTGCAAAAATTAAAGTATTTTCTTACGAATGGACACCTTATCCATCTTTACTTTTTGAAATTGATTCAGAAAACAATATAATTATGAGAAAAGCAAACAAATCTGAATTCTATAAGGCTGTGTTAAGAGAAATTAAAGAAATACCTGATTAACTTTTTTGCATGCCAATAGAACTTTTAATACAGCTTATACATATAAGAGATATGATGGCACTTATTCCGCGTTATCAAAATTTTAATAGTAGAAAATTTCGAGAATTATTTTTAAAATACGTGTCTTTAATATTACAGTTCAAGCCTCTAAACTGTGTTTTAATAGTATGCATTGGTAATCGTTACGATTTTGAAGAAAGCTTAAAACAACAAAAAGATATAGAAGATCGAAAAATTGTCATTTTGAAACATGAAATACGAGACGAACTTGATCTACCTTATTGGAAGAAATTTATAATAAATCCTTGGAATAATAATAATAATAATAATATCTTTATTAGTACTAGCCAATGCTGCCATCATAGATGGATGTACACGTCAACATTAATAAATAAAATTTTAAATAAAATTAAAATTACATTACACTGAACACATACGTTAAAACTAATAGTTAAACATAAATCAAAATATTTTTTTTAAAGAAGACTATCTTTAGACAAAAAAATTCACAGAATAAAAGGAACCACGAGTAATAATAGTTTTTACATTAGATTTGAATTTAGTGTAATATAATGCTTGAATATTTTTAGGTAATTTATTAAAGAGTTTTATGCCTATATATTGCGGAGACTTTTCAAACAAAGCTAGTCTATGTTGGACCGAAATAAACGTGTTTGCATTTCTGGTGGGATATCTGTGAAAATCGGATTTTTTTTTGAATTTGTGTAAGTTAGACTTTACATACAGAAGTGTTTTATAAATATAAATGCATGGTAACGGAAGAATTTTATGTTTTATGAACATTTGCTTACAGCTTTCCCCTGCCTGAATTCCAAATAATATGCGTATAATGCGCGTTTGTTTAACAAAAACTTTGTTAGACGTTACACAGTCTCCCCATAAACTAACATTATTTGATAGGTGTGGGTAAACTAAGGAAAAATAAATATTTAATAATGATTTTTGGTCCATAGTCTTCTTTAATTGCAATATGACATAAAAAGCAGAGTTAAGCTTTTTACATACTTCATCAACATGTGAATCCCATGATAAAAATTGGTCAACATAAACTCCCAAAAATTTCGTTTTTACTTCATGTGTAATTGATGGGACTGCTATAGGTAAGCTATTTTTGACGCATATAAAATTTACATAAACGGATTTATCAATATTAAGAATTAAGGAATTATTTTGACACCATGTTTCAAATATATTTAGTATATAATTAAGTGTATATTGAAGTTCTTCAGCGGTCCCAGCTGAGACCACCACTGACGAGTCATCGGAAAACATTAAAACTGATCCGCCATTTAAATACTGAGGTAAATCATTTACAAAAATAATAAATATTAGTGGTCCCAGCACCGATCCCTGAGGAACCCCAATATCAGTGGTATATATTTCAGATTTTTCCTTATTTAATTGTACATAAAATTTTCTATCTGACAAATATGATTCTAACAAATTCAACATGTTACCTCTAACACCATAAGAGTATAACTTATTTAAGATAAATTGAATTTGTAGGCTATCAAACGCCCGAGAGAGATCAAAGAAGAGGCTGGCAACATATATTCCGTTGTCTAGTTTATCGTACACTTTAGTAAAAAATTCAAGAACAGCTCCCTCCGTTGATCTTCCCGTGCGAAAACCATACTGATTCGGAGACAATACATTGTTTAAATCAAGAAATATTATAAGCCGATCATAATAGATGCGTTCTAGAATCTTAGATAACACATTTAGAACTGTAACAGGTCGGTAGTTGTCTGGACACTTTGGACAGGATCGTTTGAAGATTGGTACCAGTTTTCCAATTTTCAGTTTGTCCGGAAAAGAGCCACTATTAAATGATAAATTAACTAAGAAAGCAAGCGGTTATGCAATTACTTCTACAACACTTTTTAAAATTTTTACCTTGATTCTGTCATTACCAACGCTATTTTTATTTTTTAAGTTTAAGATTATTTTACTTACCTCATCAGCAGTTACCTCGAAAAAGCCAAAAGAATTTTTAACCCATTTTTTAGGAAGGGTACAATCGCTATTTAAACTATTACTAACTCTATTCTGAGTCTCAATATTTTTATTATTAAAATAATCCCCGAAAAATTGGGTCATTGTTTTTGGCTCCGTTAATTTTTGTGAACCTACACATAATTGAATCTGGTTAATCGGATTACGAGTTCGACCTAACGTATTATTCACGACATCCCATATTTTGTTTTGTTTGTTAGTACTTTTTTCAATGAGTGAAGCATTGTTTTCCTTTTTCTTTTGAGTTAAATAATGATCATATTCCTTTTTTTGTTGTTTGTAATAGTTCCAATTTTCAATATTATTTGATTTTTTTGCAAACCTATAGAGATTTTGGAGTTCGGAATGTTTTACCCGTACATTTTTATCATACCAGCTTTTGGTATTCTTTTTGTGTTTTCTTATAGTCCAAGGACAATTACAATTGATGACAAAATCAAGCGTTTCAATAAATTCACTAAATGACTCATTTACATCTAATTTGGTGTACATATCACTGAAACCAACTCTCAAAAGATCCTGTTTCACTGCCTGTAAGTTAAAATTTGAGATATTTCGATACATATGTAAACTATTATCAATATTATTGTTAATCGGAAAGATATTTAGAGATATTTTAAAAATTATGGCCAAATGGTCACCAATATTGGGTTGTGTAACATAACACTCTCTAATAATATGAGGCAAAGCATTGAATGCTATATAATCAATTTTGGTACTAGATGTACCGCTTTTTGTTTTAAAAATACGTGTTGGCTCATTGGGTAGGCTTAGTTTAATACCAAATGAGGTGAAAAAATCATCCAACATCTTTTTCTCATCTGATAAAGTTAAATAATCTATATTAAAGTCACCGCATAGGTAAATTGTATCATAACGTGAGTTATAATACGTTATAAACTCAAAACACTTGTCGAGGAAAATTTCCAGATTACTATCCGGAGTCCTATAAATATTCACAATTAATATTTTACTGCTATCGACACTCACTTTAACAGCACATCACTCGAAGTTACATTCTTCTACGAATCTGCTACAGTCTATTTTACTGATCTCAAACGGTTCGTCTTGAATTTTAGCATATATCATAGTCCCACCGTGTATTTTTACAGATCTCGTGAAACTGGTTACCATGGTATACTCCATAATGTGCATTAATTCAATGTTGACTTGACTACACCAATGTTCCTGAACACAAATTATGTCCGGTTTTTTTTTACGACTAAAAGTTTCTAAATTAAGTAATTTATTTGTTAAACATTGTACATTTACAGTTGACAGGGTAAAAGTCACATAATCATTATTAGTTGACTTTATACTGTTTAATCGTTTAAATTCAATGGACTGTCTCTCTGAAAATTTGTTTTCATAAATTTAAAGCGTTGTATTGCAGCTCCGCTAGGCCAAATGTTTGGATCATATACTTTATCTAAATCAGTAATTGGAAAAGAAATTTTAAACGAGGAATAATTTTCTGTGTTATTCCACTCTTTGCATTTAAATTTAACATCTGGTGCAGTGTTTCCTAGATGTTTGATCATATCAGAAACACCAGTATCAGGAGAAATTCTACAAACATGCCCATGACCTTGCCGTGGAATAGTTTTTATAGCGGTATTTGCCGAACTATTTCCAATCAATTTGGTGTATTTATTTAATGTTACAGACGTCATTGCCCCGTGTACAGCTGAACTGACCTGTGTACTATTTATGTATGTTTTTTGCGATGATTCATTTTTACCTATTATTGATGCGTTTGAAATGTACCTCATCGAGCAGATCGAGTAGATTTTTTGGTCACGTGACATCGAGCAAACCACATCAATGGAGCAAACGAAGCAAAAGGGGCGGCATCGAGTAAAAAAAGCTGAACGAGCTACTTTTCAAACGCAGCATATTTTGTTGTTCGATGATAAAAACTCATTTTTAGATACTGGTTCTATTGTAGTAGTAATCTTTTCTTGATTTTTGTCTTGCTTTTGTCGCCAATTAACAGATGTCTCCGCTTGTTTTAATTTATTAAAATTTCATTTTTATTTTAACATTAAAATTAAGTCTTCTTATTCAGAAGTGCGTTTTTCCAAATGCACCATTAGACTTTTTAGTGTATTCAGTTCATTTTTTAAGGATTCCAGTTGAAAATCCATGAATTCCTTACCTGAAGATTTTGAGGTTATGGCACCCTCGGCATCGTGGAACTCATCACCTTCAATCACTTTATGGGCACTATTTGTCACAACTTTAATTAACAGATCATTGTTTATCGCGATCGGCAACTTTTTCGTTAAAATAATGTCAATTAAATCACTTTTTTCAATTTATTAAGCTCAGCTGCTACAAGTGCAACATCAACGGTCGCCATCTTTTCTATAATTTAAATATTGAAATTTCTAACACGCATAAAATTATTGACAAAATAAAAAAAACCCTTACAAGGACTCAAGAATGACATAATTTTCAATACTAATGAACTAATTTTCAATAATTTTGTAGCTAACCAACAAAGACAATACAATAAATTGTTCTATAGAGTAAAAATTAAAAACATTATACTCTGTTTTTAAACTAGGAGGAGCAAATTGAAAAGACGCATTTACACAGGGAAAAGGAACTAGATTTGTTACTAAGAGCGAGTTTCGAAATATAGTCGTGTTCAAAATTTATGAAATAATTATCTTTATCGGCCTTAGTCGGCGAACGGCCAATGAGCGGTTAAGAAACAAATAAATATCATAGAAGTAATTTTTTAATTGGTCCCAGACAACGGTT